GTTTCTCTCCTGATGGAAATACATTAGCTTCTGGTAGTTATGATAACTCTATCCGTCTATGGAATGTTAAGAATGGATAAGAAATTTAATCCGATGACAAAAAATATAATAATATTCTTGCTTAATTTAAAGCACCACTTTTTTAGAACAATCTTCTGCCAGGTATTTATTAAATTATTATTTTTTAGTCTCTAATCATTCATATCATATTATATCCTAATCAATAATATTGGAAGCATAAGGAACACTTATCTTATAAGGAAAATTTATAAACCATTAAGGATAAGATTTGAAACCTTTATTTAAATCTAAAGGATGTTGCTTTTTAGAAGATTTATAGAAAAAGTGATTTGATCTATATCAAACAACAATTATAAATACAATTAATATCTAATATTATTTTTTAATTCTGTCTTCATTAATTTAACTCTTAATCTTCACTCTTAAAGCTAGGTAAGCTCCTATTCTTTAAAGTTTTATTCAATTTTAGTGTATATACACCACATTTACTTAAATATTATTAAAATATATGATCAGTTTAGTTTAGGGATTATTTATTTAAATATCATATATCAGGTAATCATAGTTCTATAACTCAAATATTTATATCAAAATAATCTGTATAAAATAACAAATTACAATTTTTAAAGTATGTCATTTAAAAATCGAGACACTTAATATTTCATGAGTTCCAATAAAATACAAATGAATCCAGATAAATATAACAAAAATTTTTTAATTATTTAAATAGGAAAATATATATATAAAACCTTAAATACTCTTATAAGAAACTTATAGCAACAATATTTCTCTTGATAAGAAAGGATGACAATTCTAAATGGTGAAAGAAAAATTTGCATCTAACATCATAATTTATACGAAAAATGGATTCATCAATCTTAGTTCGGATCATATTTAGAATCATGTATTAATATCATAATCAAAAACTTAATTCTTTGTTTAATATTTATAATAATAGTATGGGTCAATTTATGGATTTGGTTGAACTTGATATTTTGACACCATAATTATTTTAGCATTTGATCATATATTTTGCTTTGGCTAATAAATATTTTTTCAATTTGAGATATCTCATTTATGTTCTTTATTTTTAAACACCTCTATTTTACAATATTTTTTTAAAGATTTTATATTTTTATATTTATGGTATCTTGATGAGAATTGTATCTTTAATGTTATCTATCAAAAGGGCATTCTCTTCGACAAAAGAAGTTACTATTTCTTTAAAAATTTTCATTATATATTGAAAATTAAGCATAATGAGAATAATTAAACAAGGTATTTATATTTCATAAGTTTAACTTTGTTAATCAATATAAATCCCTATTCCAACAGCTATTGATATACCACATACATTTGCTGAATATGCATCTAATTTATTTAAAATGAATGATTTATAAGGCCGATATTTTTAACTAAGCTCTTAATAAATATACACTAATGACAACAAAAGGATTCCTTTCTTTACAACATTCTCTTCATAATATGAAACGAAAATTATAAGTAATTCTTTGAAAACAATTTTAATTACCTCCCAATAATAAGCTTCAAGCACATATTCATTATATAAATATCCCCATTTTTATCTTGTGCTTTTTTTATTTAATGTATTTTAATTAACATACAATGAAATAAAGAAATATAATGGAATAGTTAATGCAATAAGGATTAAAATTGGTATGCAAAATTTTAATAACCATTAATAATGTATTTGAGTGTCATATCTGTAAGAAACATTGGCTTAAATCCAAAGAAATCGTGAGATTTACCGATATGAGATAAGTGAAATCAATGCTCCAACCAAATATGGTTAGAGATAGATGTACATATATATTAGAGTTGTAGTTATTACATTCAAATTAAATTTAAGCTTTAAAATGATTAAAGCAAAGCTGTAGATACATAAAAATATGCATATGTATATGAAGGGCATGATAATTTGCCATAAAATTATTAAATAATGAATTTCGAAATCAAATATATCCTTTAAAAAACAATCAAGAGAATGTGTCATTGTTTGTATTGGATTGCTTATAGCATTAATGACATTACCAATACTAATTAATGAGGAGAATTTAAAAGTAAAAATAACTGAGAGTATTTAAAGGTGATTAGTAATCATTTTTATTAAAATTCCAAAATTCGAATGATATTAAACTCTTGAAGAAATTAATCTTGAAATTACTCGTTTCAACATCATTTGTTCATTTAATGAAATATTACTCCTAACAGTGATTAAAATCGATATTAAAGTCCTTAAAATAATGAAAATATATACCATAAGCTAATGCCTGTGATAACAAAAATATTTTTACTCTATTCAACACATGAGCCACATGAATACTTGGTACTTGTTGAAAAATGTCCGAAACCTCTTATGTTATATATGTCACATTCTTCGCATAATGCTCCAATATGACCTTAAAAACAAGATGTATCGCCTTCACTCCATCCGCCATTGCAATTATAAAGTAAATTGATACATTGGCTAATTTCATCAGTATCAAAATAAGGTCTCCAAAAACCATGCTTTAATTTTAACTAAGCTGATTTAATTTCACTTGTAGTAACATCATCTTTTTAAGAACAAGTATTTGAATTCAGAACTAAGGAATACAAACCTTAAGTAGCATTACAAAGTACACAAGTATAATCAAAAAGACTTTTTATTTCTCCTAATTAACAAGGTAGCGATTTAATGTTCATTCTTAAAAAATAGTTATTATGATAACCTAATATTTCTTGAGCTTTACCATAAATAGGAGTGAAAATTGAATTGCAATGAAATTAAATTTATAGAGTCATATTTAATTAATCATCTAAGAAAAAAGTGATATTATCAAAGTTGTAATCAGACTTACTAAATAAAACTGAATTAAAGTTAGTAAAGTTTTCAGTGAAATTTTCAGTCAAATTTTAATCTTCATTTTCGATTAGTAACCGACCGCTTATTAAACATTCAGTATTATTTAAATTTTCTTAGACATTGTTGTAAGCATCTAAAGGTATTAATCTGAGATGCAAATTATATCCTATATAAACTTAATTCCTCCAATCAAAATATTAGTATTGAGACATAGTTTATCCATTAGGAACATATAATATATTAGAATAATTATTAACAAATAATTAATATTTTCCAATTTAAATTTATTCCACTAAAAGGTTATCCTTCTCTATTATTTTAATTTTAGGTAACTAATTTTTTAAATCAATTGAAACTGATAATTAACAAGGAGGCTAAACAAAATTATCACCAAATTGAGCTGCAATATTTTCATGTATTATTGTTTCTTATTAAATTACATTTTAGGAAATCTAATCTTTTAAGAACAATCCTCCACCAAATATAGCTTTATTATATTAGATGACAGAGTTCAAAATAAAAAAACTTTTATGGCCAATAACATAAATAGATCCACCTTATTATTCTGCTGTATTATTTTGTAAAATAGAATCTTCTATTAATATTTTGATATCCTAAATTTAGAGACATGTACCTTTGTTTGCAAAGTTTCTAATGCATTAAAATTTTTGTAATTTAACATCATATTGTTTTTCATTGATGATGTAAATTAAAGACTGCAAAATTCTGTAGGTTGAAAAAGATTTTACTATATTTAAGCAACTTTATTTTCCACAATAATTATCATAAAAATTCACTGAATTCATTACGAACATACTTAGATTATCATAAATGTTAACATTTACCAGCCCTTTTTAACAAATTGTACAATTAATATTTCTTAATTGCAATTTTGAAATATGTATTTATGAATTTTAAGGAAAAATATCTAATAGACTAGATATCTATTTTTTTTATTGTAAATTCATTTGATAAATTATACAATATGCATTCCTAACACTATCCTAATTTTTAAAATACTTCAAATCAATAGGGGATTCTTTTAAACTATTATCATAAGAGCAAATCTATTTTATTTAATCAAAAGCTTAATTCTGAATACATTTTTCTAGAATAGGGATTTAATGTTATATCTCTGCATTGATAACTTAAAAATCTACTAACCTTAATTTAGATTAGTTCTTCATTGAATTAACTGTAAGGAATGAGTTCAAAAAAGTTGAATTTGAGATTCTCAAATTTGAGATTTCTAAGTTTGATGTTTGGGATATAATAGCTAGTGATTCATAATTTAATGAAAACAGAATAATGTTTTTTATACTAATCAACTTGGCATAAGCTAATTCAAATAAACTTCTTTCAAATTATAATTATATTAGTGATTAACTATTCGTTATACTAAATCTGTTAAGAAATCTTAAGTATCCTTAAATTGAATTTGTCATATCTAAATGATTAAGCACAAATTGTTATGACTATTTTGTGGATGCAGAAAATTCACAAAATATGATGGATCCTTTCAATGAATACACATCTTTTATGGTAATATCTTGTAAATTTATCATAGTTTTTCCTAATCCACTTTATATAAAAATTAGACCTCCTCGATTTCGACAAAATATATCTTAAGCATTAACATTTTAAAGGTATATACTTGTAGAAGATGATATTGATGTATCAATTAGAAAGGCTCCTCCATCTTCATTATCATCCTAATATATAGAGCTTAAACTACTAATATTTGTATCATATATTTTTAATGAGGCTTCTTTTTCTAAAATTATATATAATCCAGAACCAGTAGAATTAGATATTGAAACATTCCTTATAAATATTTCTTAGCAAACTATTTTCCCATTTCCAGTTAAGACTTTTATTGGAAATTTTTCTTGAATTTGTTCAAAAAATATTTCCTGATCTTCTTGGAAACCCCAATATAGATAAGGCTATAAGATTAAATAATCAAATTAGCTATTTTAAACAAAAATAGAATTCTAAATTGATAAATATTTTGCCTAAATGTAAAAAATACTATTGAAAGTGTTTATAGCAATATTTTGTGTAAAATTTAGATCGATTAAAAGTATGGTACAATGCTAACAATCAAAATTAAATAAAAGGCCTGAATTACTTAAATCGATTTAAATATATTGATGCATAATGTTTTTTTCAAAATTTGAATTCTTAATTTCTATTTAATAATCTTCTGCAGATGATATTTAAAATAGGGATGCTTATTTAATTTTATTTGTTATCAAAATTAGATTTTCCTTAAAATGCAATTCTGAAAGCTGAATGATATTTTTCGTTTTAGTCTTTAAAATAGAAGTTTTAATATCAATTATAGGGTAATTAATTGATTCAGCCTTTTAAATTATTAAATTTGTGATTTCAATTATAGGCACATCATAAATACTGATTGAAAGATAATAGTATTCATTAATAATAGATTATTCTAAACACTCAAATAATTCATGAATTCCTTTAAATTTAAAATTTTCATGTTGTTAAATTTCTATTTACTTTAATATTAATTTTTCAGAATTTATAATAACTATATCTTGAATCCCATAAGCTTTTTGAATGATCAAATGATCAATTTTAACTGAAATTACATCTAAATAAATTAAACTCATTTCTAAAATATCAAAAACTGTTTGTAACGGTTGTTAAATAAATTTGTTTGCAACTATTGATAGCTGGTTTATTATTAATTCCCTATTAGGTATTATATTTTAAGTAAATTTTATAAATCTTGCATTTTCATGATATTTATTTAAATAGAATCCAAGGTTCCCAATATAGATATAAAAAATTTCAACTTTATCATTAACAATTAACTATGCACCATCTTTAAACTAATTTAAGCTAAAGTTTAAATTCATCAAATCTGAATAATTATTAATAGCGATTATTTTACCATAGTGTACTGTATTTGAAATAAATTCTAATGAATCAAAATTGAAGTATTATAAATTTTTAATTAAAAACAAGCCATTATTAGAATAAAAATCAGAATAACTAATCTTCATTTAGAAAATTCTCAATTCACCATTAGTTTAGTTTATAAATCCCATATTAAAAAGTGATGTCTCAATATATATATAATTCAATTCTACTAAATCATCTTTTTTGAGATCAAACCAAAAAAAATGTAAATCCCAAAATTAACTATAAATAACATTGAAATTCTCTATTTTTACAGTTTACTTTGATTGTATTTTTTCTATTTTAATAAAATACTCAATATAAAATTATCTGGAGCAATCTTAGACAATAAAGTTTGAAATATAAACATTTTTTGCATTTTGCATAATAGTTTAAAAAGTAATTCTGGGATCGTCTTACCAAAAGAGAATATTAATTAATTAAATGGTTTGTTCAAATGCACTTTTAAACTTGAGTATACTTGGACCATATGTAAAAAAATCAATATCAATTTTAATCCCTTCGATATGCACTCTTTTAAAATTAACAATTAATAATTATTGTTAAAATTAAAAAGTTGTAAAATCATTTCCAAAAATTTCAAGTTCAACCTATCTAATTTAGTTAAATTACAAAAATTACATTGCTGTGAAAATATTGGAACTAAAATTCTAAGAAATCTATTATTTATCAAGAACAGAACATGTTTAATGTTATTGACTGGTAATTTTTATCAAAATTTATTTAATTGATTTCTAATTAGCTAATAGGTAAAATTCTTAAGTCTCAAACTAAATTAATTAATATTATTATTACTTAAGAAAAACTTGATGAGGAAAATAATTGATCACTCAAAATATTTGAGTGTTAAAATGATTTTTTTTATTCTTCTGTTTCTAATGAATTTAATTATTGGTAGTATTCTTCATTATTACAAATTAAATTTAAATTTAAAACAATTGATTTAATACATGGACCAAATTCGCAATCAGCATCAATTCCTAATTCCTAATCAAAATAGCCATTGGATCCAGATATACAATAATATGAGTAATTAGAGAATTCTTCATTATTAAAAAGTGGATTAATAGAATGTACATCTTGTTTATCTCTTTCATAACACAAATTACAATTGTTTGGGCAAGAAATACATTGGTTATTTATCAAAGTTCTATTTCTAATTTTTAATCCTTAGGGACATTTAATACAAATATTTTTATTATTTTACAATATACATTTTAAGCATGATTCTGGACAAATTTCAATACATTGATTTTCATGTAGTTCATATCCTTCTTAGCATATTGTACAAAGGATTTCATAATCTATATCATTTTGACTTATTCCATATTCAGTAAATTTATGCTAAAAAAATTCAGTATCTATAGAGGCTCTATAAAAAGCTCGAATATCATTTTTCCAATTATCTTTAGAAATTTTGTTTTACTAAAAACAACTTAAACAATGTAAATCTTATGGGCACGATAAACATTATCCTGTTTTTTTTTGAGCATAATAACCATTTTGACAAACAAGACAAGAGTAAGAAACTTTTTTTGGGATTCTCTCATTTTACACAATGTATGATGTTAATTATTCAACTACACAGTATTAACAGTTTAATTTCATTCTTGGACATTCATCAACAAATGAATATATCATAACCATTGAATCATAAGGACCATATAAGCATACCTGTTAATTGAATACTCCTTACTTCGAAAGATAAAATTAATTACAATTTTTCTATTTTCCCTCAAGACAGACTAGATAAAGTTCATCAAAAAAATAGCCATCAATACATTTTGCACATTTAGTAAACGTCAAACCAGAATAAGGTCTAAACATATAATCTAATGAATTTATATGAGGATCTGATTCAGAACTTTCAAATGCAATTAAGCAATTTGTTAATTCATTAATTCTACAATCCTAAGAATTCAAGGATAAGTAATAAAAATAATTATCTAAACAGCTTAAGCAAACCATAATTTCTAATTCATTAGAATATTAGCAAACTTTGCAAAAATTGCCACATTTTTAGCATTAATTGTTAATCAGTCCAAAACCTGTTTAACAAGATAAACATTCAGTTAAGCTAAGACAATTTGGACAAGAATTTGGACATAGAATGCAAGATGAACTTTCATCTGATAGATAATATCCACTCAAACATTCAGTACATTTTTATGTATTTTAATTTATTTTTTTACATGCTGCATCTAATAACTTACATTTAAAGTTATAATAATAACGATTTTCTTTACAAAACCCAAAGGCTGTACTTGATAAATGATTAACATCTAACTGAAAACAATTTTCAAATTATATTTCTGTTATATCACAATAATCATATACTCCTTCTATTAAATTCAAATTATAACTATCATCAATATTATAAAGATCATAATCTAAAACAGATCTATCTTATTGTGTATAAGCATCATCTGTTTATGATACTTGTTAAGTTATGAAATCCTTAGTACAAATAGGTTTAATATACCAATTTTTTGAATTCAATAGACAATCTATACAATATAAATTATATGAATTCCATTGAGGACTATATTATTAACAATAATTACCATTATATGCATTATTAATTGGTTGGTAGATAAAAATATCCAAAAGGACAATCAGAATTTGATACATCTAAACTAATTTCATCATAGATTAATGAAGGAAATAGGTCAGAATAAGATTTACATATCTAATTTATTTCTATCTAATCTATTGGACAAACACATTGATGATATTCTTCCAGAAATACTCTTCCCCTATCATCGTAACAGGATAAACAATTATTGTTTAAGGGACCGTAACAAGTTTAACAATTATCATGGCAATCTAAATATATCTCATTATAATACAATAATTTAGATTTAAATCATATTAATAATTTGAGAAAAATTTAAAGTCAGCTAATTGTCCTTTCAATTTTTTATAAATAGTATAATCTCCTCCAAATATCGCATAATATTTTGTATTAATAAATAAGTTACTGTATACTAAGTCTCCCATTAGATATGAATTTGTAATTAACTGTTAATTTTCATAATAGCTTAATCTAAATTATGATTTTCTTCTCTATTCTTCTAATCCATATTCAAATGAAATGAAATGCCATTTTGTTAATAATTAAAAATATGGTAAATCTTATCTCAAAGTAATTTTATCATTTGTTGCCAATTTTTCTATAGAAATAGGATATGGCATAAAATAATGGTGTGATATAACATCATATCCACAATTATTTTAATTTGATAAATCCAAATTAACTATTATCTTTACAATTTCATCTCCTATATTTATTTCATCTTTGTAATTTTTAAATATTGTTAGTCTAACTAATAAATACTATGTTAATTAGTATGCCTCTTAAGAATAATATTTTGCCCAACCAAATAAGCAGAATTTCCTTCCAAATTAATCAAATTCAAATTCTTTTTAAATAACTCCATCAAAATATGCTAATCCTGGAAGTATATTTATTTTTTTTTCATATTCGTTTAATCTTAGCCAATATATTGTTCCATCATATATATCCCAAGGGTATCTATAATATTCTTGAATAAAAATCCTGGATAATCTTCCTCGAAATATTCCTAATTCATATTACTATTTTATCTACAAATATTGATATATCTTACAACTCCAGTTCCTCCAACCAAAAATTCAACTGAATTAGGTTTGGCTTAATTAAGATATAATAATTTATAATTAATATTGAGACTTCCTACTGTTTCATAAATCAGAGAATCATATTCTAGGGTGATAATAGTGATTATCCAAACTCCTTCATAATCCTTAGGATCATATGCAATTTAAGACAGTTTATCCTCAACAAAGAGCGAATGAACCACATAAGTATTTGTAATTACATTTGTATACATAAATGCTAATACTTGATTATCATCTAAACTTTTCATTAAAAATAGCAACTATTGCTTTGGTTTATCAAAGTTTATTTTTTATTCAACTTAAGGATAGGATTGAGGGATCCAATTTGTAATATAGAAGCTCCAAAATTCAAAAGAAATGAAATCCCCTATGTCATATCTAATTGTTGATTCTAAAGGGTATGAGCTGGGAATTAGTAATTCTTCATTAAATTAATAGCAAGAGGCTAAAGCAATTATGGTGACTAATGAGAATAGTGATTTTTAAATCAGTATATCTTTTAACATAATGAATGTTTATTTTTTATGTATAATTTAATTAAAAAATTTCATCATTGACTAAAGACCTAATAATTTTGCGTGATTTTTGAAAATGCTGTTTTAACATTTTTAATTAAATATTGTAATTTTATATGATATGTTAATAATTATTTTGACTCCGTAATGTCCTTAATTTTCTAATATCCATATTATTATTAAAATATTTGTAAGAATATCATAATTATCTTTCAACAGATAAACAGGTAATACTTTTGTTAATTTGAAATAAAATATTACTTTTCCAAAAATATTGTAGTTTAACGCATCTGGTTAATCATTTTTGCTATTGATTAAGATATTTATAAATTTGAAAATAATTTCTTTTCTTTTATACACATAAATTCTTTAGTATTAATACTATTTATTATTAAGCAAAGGTATATTGTAAATCTCTTCTGTATTCCTTTTTATATTTAAAACTCATTAGCGTGTTTATTATTGTTAATGATTATCTCTTAAATTCTGAAGTGAAAATGTCATAAAAACACATAGTATTAAATTAACCTTTTGTTAATTTAACAAGAAATATCATTTTACTAAAAATTTCCTTAATGCTCTATGTTTCAAGTCTTTTCAAAAATTGATCCTCTAATTAATATTTAATTTATGTAAATTATATATTAATTTAAATTTCTGGTGTTTGATTCCATCCTCCATTTATCATAGTAATCCTAAAGTTATAAGGATATAGTTGAAAATTTATACATGAATCAAAGAAAAGTTAATAATCTAATGAGTATGGAGGAATCTAATCAGGATTTATTTATCATCATTAGATATTATAATATTAAAAGTAGAATTTTTAAACTAAAAGATTATATTTTAATGCTATTATAATTTATAGATGTATTCTTTAAAATTATTCAAAGAAGTAGTCATTGTATTACAAAAATTAAATTGATATTTTTGCCTTATAAAACTTTAATTCATTTGGTATTCTAAAATTTTTTTCATTATCAATAACTTGAATCCAATTTGATTAGATTATTGGCAATGTTTCATATAACAATTTTACTTTTATCTTAAAACATTTTATGATAAAATATATTATAAAAATTCAAGTTTCTTAATTCTCATTTTACTAAAATGCTAACCTTTCCGAAATTTTTATTTACGCAAAATTATTTTTCTAAATGTTCGCAGAAAATGAGCCTGAGCTATTTATGACATTTACTCTTTCATAAAAATTGTTGAAAATACAGGAATTAAAATGTCAGTTTTAAACAAACGTAAATATTTGTCATTCATATATTTTCTTTGAGAAAAAAATTCATTATTAATGTTATTTTATTTACTTTATACTACAGCTTATTTTCTTAATGTTTATTATAAATATTTATTATAAATTATGACAGAAGCATTTGAATAAGAAATAACAGAGAATATATCAGATTATTAATTAATATCAAATCGGTAATAATATTTATATTAAGAAAGTTAAGTTCATTAAAAACAAAAAATAACTCAATATCAATTAAAGGAAAAATATTAATGAAAATATCTTAATTGATCAAGACATCTAAAAATATATTAACTAGAATATAATATTTTCTATATTTTTATTAAATAAATATTAATAGTAACTATTCTACGATAAAATACTGAATAATATTTGAAAATTTCACCATTGAAATATAGAATTTAAGAAAAATATAGATTTAAACATATCATGTGCAAATAAAATAAATTATTTTAGTGATATATACTATCTATAAAAATATAGTTTATAAAATATTGATTCTACACTCTTTGATGAATGAATTTAATCAATAAAAGTTCAATAATTGTTTCTCATCTTCATTTCAAAATGAGAATCATGACTATTAATTCTTCAAACATAATTTTATCATAATTTATAGTCAGAGAGTATTATTACAAATATAATAATTAAAATCAATCTAAAATATAAAAATTATATTATCATTCTAAAAATGGCAATAATGTATTGTAAAATAGTAATAAATTTGCAATTATGAATTGATCATGCTATAATCTAAATTTTCCATTTAGAATTTAAAATAGACTAATTACCTGTGATGTTGCAAATCCAAGATACAAAAAAAATATAAAAATGAAAAAAATCATTACTGAAAATTCTTTTTAAATACAAAAATTATTTAAACAATTCTAGAAATTAAAAGATAGTGATATCACAATGATTGATATTACTAAAGGGAATAACATAGATGATATAAGGGTTTCTAAAATAGCTGATTTAATTACATTTGATATTTGGATCTTAATAAAAAGTAAAGTAAACACTCAATATAAAATAAGATGATATTAGACAAATTTAAAGCTAAATGATACCAAATATCAGAATTGTATTGTAAAATAATCTTACTCCAAAAATACATATAGATGAAGTAACTATTGTTGTATATAGAAGAATTAACAAAATTTCTTTGATTAATGTCTAATTATTTATTATTTATTACATCCCTAATTTGTGGTTTAGATTTTATTATCTACAATAATAATAACTATGCTATTATTAGAAAAATAAACATTGGAATTGCAAAAGATAACTTTAAATCTTGAATATTTATTGAATAAGCAGAAATAAGAGAAATAGCTAGTTCTAATCCAGTTTAACAAAAACAAGTCAACATCAAAAGAACTAAAAACTTCCTTCTATCTTTTAATTAAATCAGTGGTTAACACTATGGCTATTATGCCATGTATTCAACTAAAATGGCTTAATGCTTTACTTGAAATAGGAATTTCTGGGGCTCCGATGATTAATTCTTAATTTTGCTAATTTTGTAATATTGGTTAATACATTTTAATGATTGATAATGTCTAACAAATTTTATTAATATTAAGTATAAAGTTAAGGCTTTTATTATTATATAAATATTTATTAGTTATGTCAAATTCAGATTCACTCAAGAAAAGAAATTTAAATTTTGAATAAACTCATTAGCATAAAAACTAAAACAAATGAAACTTAATAATTTATGGTCGAATAGAATAATAAATAGAATATAGAAATTAACAAGTATTCTTAAAAGTGAAATTATTGGTAAGTTTATACATTAATGTTGTTATTAATCAGAATAAAATTTATTTCGAGTTTTATAAACATTAATGCATAAGTAGGTAATATAAAATATAATGAAAAAGAGAAAATATATATAATATGTTATTAATTTTTATTCTTATATTTAATATCTAGTGCAATTATCTTGGATAAGTAAGCTAAATAAGATCTGATTTGATTAGGGTTTACTTGTTTCCTCATTCCCATGATGATGTTGGATGGATTAAAACAATAAATGAATATTATTTTGATTATCATGGAGTCTAATAAATAATTAATTCATATATAGAAGAATTGATTAAAGATAAATCTAAGCATTTCNTTCTTTTTAAATACAAAAATTATTTAAACAATTCTAGAAATTAAAAGATAGTGATATCACAATGATTGATATTACTAAAGGGAATAACATAGATGATATAAGGGTTTCTAAAATAGCTGATTTAATTACATTTGATATTTGGATCTTAATAAAAAGTAAAGTAAACACTCAATATAAAATAAGATGATATTAGACAAATTTAAAGCTAAATGATACCAAATATCAGAATTGTATTGTAAAATAATCTTACTCCAAAAATACATATAGATGAAGTAACTATTGTTGTATATAGAAGAATTAACAAAATTTCTTTGATTAATGTCTAATTATTTATTATTTATTACATCCCTAATTTGTGGTTTAGATTTTATTATCTACAATAATAATAACTATGCTATTATTAGAAAAATAAACATTGGAATTGCAAAAGATAACTTTAAATCTTGAATATTTATTGAATAAGCAGAAATAAGAGAAATAGCTAGTTCTAATCCAGTTTAACAAAAACAAGTCAACATCAAAAGAACTAAAAACTTCCTTCTATCTTTTAATTAAATCAGTGGTTAACACTATGGCTATTATGCCATGTATTCAACTAAAATGGCTTAATGCTTTACTTGAAATAGGAATTTCTGGGGCTCCGATGATTAATTCTTAATTTTGCTAATTTTGTAATATTGGTTAATACATTTTAATGATTGATAATGTCTAACAAATTTTATTAATATTAAGTATAAAGTTAAGGCTTTTATTATTATATAAATATTTATTAGTTATGTCAAATTCAGATTCACTCAAGAAAAGAAATTTAAATTTTGAATAAACTCATTAGCATAAAAACTAAAACAAATGAAACTTAATAATTTATGGTCGAATAGAATAATAAATAGAATATAGAAATTAACAAGTATTCTTAAAAGTGAAATTATTGGTAAGTTTATACATTAATGTTGTTATTAATCAGAATAAAATTTATTTCGAGTTTTATAAACATTAATGCATAAGTAGGTAATATAAAATATAATGAAAAAGAGAAAATATATATAATATGTTATTAATTTTTATTCTTATATTTAATATCTAGTGCAATTATCTTGGATAAGTAAGCTAAATAAGATCTGATTTGATTAGGGTTTACTTGTTTCCTCATTCCCATGATGATGTTGGATGGATTAAAACAATAAATGAATATTATTTTGATTATCATGGAGTCTAATAAATAATTAATTCATATATAGAAGAATTGATTAAAGATAAATCTAAGCATTTCTCATAAGTGGAGGTAGCTTATTTTAAAATGTAAATTCTAAAATATATAAAAGGTGGTGGAATGAATAGAATAATACAATGAAAGATAATGTAAAGTAATTAATATAGAACCAATAACTTGAATTTTTAAGTGGAGGTTGGTGTATGAATGATGAAGCAACAACTTATTATGAAGATATTATTGATTAAATGACATTAGGACATAAATTTCTACTTGAAAATTTTAATTATGTACCCTCTATTGGATGGTAAATTGATACATTTGGACATTCAAATACTTAAGCACTATTTTCAAATATGATGGGTTTTAATGCTTGGTTTTTAGGAAGAATAGACCATCAAGAGAGATTAGAAAGAGAAAAAAAGAAGGAATTAGAGTTTGTAATTCATTCTGATGAAGAAAACTCTATTTTCACTCATATTAATTATTATGGATTTTATTCATCTCCTTAAGGATTTGATTTTGACATTTCCAATCCTAAAAGAAATTATGTTTCTAATGAAAACTTGGAATAAAAGTCTGAAGGACTTGATTAATATTTTAAATAATAGTGTAAATCCTATAGAGGTAAAATATTAGCTCATACACTTGGTATGGATTTTGAATGGTCAAATGCTTCTAGCTATTTTTAATAAATGGATCTTATTATTAATCGAATAAATAATAATTCCCACAAATTTAATATGATTATAGAATATGGTACTCCAAAATAATATATCCAAGCATTGAATTAGTAAAATGTTTCATATCCTTTTTAAAAAGAAGATTTTTTTCCTTATTCTGATCATCCTCATGAATATTGGTCTGGATTCTTCACTAGTAGACCTTCTTTTAAGGGATATGTCAAAAGAATTGGTAGATATTTTTAACAAGTCAAACGATTTTATTCATTAGTATAAATGAATAATATTATTTGTGATGAAACAATAATTTAAGATTTATCTGAAGCTTTGGGTACAGCTTAACATCATGATGCAATAACTGGAACTGCAAAATAATACGTAATTAATGATTATTTCAATTTGATTCATAAAGCCTATATAAAAATGGATAATCAAATAAGTTCATTTCTAAATTATTTATCAAATACATCAGAAATATTGCATTCTTAATGCTAATTTAATGAATCAGATACATGTGATTCCTTATTTTATCCTCTTAGCTAAAACAAAACTGTAATTGTTACTATAATTGATACAAAAATCAATAATGATGGATAATAGGAGTATTTGAAGATGCTGATTCCGAAAAATTTAAACATTAAAGTTGATGATGAATTAGGAAATCCCATAAAAGGAGAAATTATATGTATAAATGATTAATGCACTCTTTACATACCAAGACAAATTAATAATTCTAAACTATTACATTATATTAAAATAATGGTTGATTTTGATAATAATTCAAAGATTATAAGATTAGACCCAAAATTGATAGAAATTAAAAAAGATACAAAAATATTTGATAAATTTATATTAAATTATAAAGTTTATTTATCAAACTCATCAAGTTTAAGTAGTGGAGCATACATATTTAGACCTATTGGAAATGCCACTGATTATGGTGATTACTTATCAGCCATTTAATTTTCAGGTTAAATAATTCAATAAATATATTTTGAAAAAACAACTTTAAAGGTCTGGATTTCAAGATTTGATAATTAAGATATATTTTATATTGATACTTTTTTAGATTCAATAGATATATCTGATTAATAAGGGAGAGAAATAATATTATAAATTCATACTGATATCATAAATGATAATATATTTTTTACAAATAGTAATGGATTTAAATTTTAAAAACGAAGATTAAATCACAGAGAATCATAAAATATAAAAATCAAAGAGAAAATAGCAGGTAATTATTTTCCTATAAATGGTGCTATTATGATCATGAATAAAGATGGAAATTCTGCTTGTGCAGTTCTTAATGACAGAGCTTAGGGAGGATCAAGTTTAATTTAAGGAGTTATAGAGTTAATGTTATAAAGAAGATTAGTACGTGATGATAATAAAGGACTTTTTGAAATTTTGGATGAATAAGAAATAATTAAAGGAAAAAAATTAGGAATAAGATAAATGATATCACATACAGTCATTTTCTATAATCATGAATAATAAACAAATCTATTAAGAGAATTTTAATATCAATAAGATTTATAACCCTTACTTTATTTTTCAACATAACCATCTATAAGATATTCTGTTCTATAAGACTTATTTTAAGAATTTCTAATCAAATAATCTGATATAAATTTGAGCAAATTATATATTGAGCCTTGGCTATAGAAAAATTAGTATTTAGTAAGAGTTCATAATATGAGGGAGGAAGGCATTTAAAAATTAAAGTTTCCTAAAGAATTAACATTTTAAGAAACTACTTTAACTGGTAATCAAGAATTAAAGGTGTGGGAACATAATCGATTAAGTAGATGATTGTTATTATTTTAGAATGGAGTGATAAATATCCTAAAGAATAAAATTATTAATATAAGTATGATGAAGTAGGTCCAATGAGAATAAAAACCTGGATTGTAACAATTTGAAGAAAATTAACATATATCTCAAACCATGAGTTTATGGCAGAATTTTGAGAATACATAAATTATTAATTAATTTGAATGAAATTTTGTTGCAAAAAAGTGCTTTCTATTTTAAAATATTTCATTTATAATAATAATTTATAAGTAATTAAATTATAAATATTATTAATGGTCATTTCTTCATTTATTCCTAAAACCTGTTTTATCTATAATGATAATTAAAGGAAATTAAAATGGATTTAAAATATGACCTAATAAAATTAAGAGATATTGCATATAGATGTCACAAAAATTTTAAATGTGTATTTGTTAAATTTTGTATAAATTCTTAAGATGAAATTTGATAAATTAATTTTGGAAATAAACATTAATTAATTAACATCTTCATTAATTTGGTAATAAAAATTACATAAATAATTTATAAAAAATATAAAAATGTCATTTGTCCTCATTCTTTCCTTTTTTATGAAAACTGCATTAGCTGATTATTTACTTATATTAACTCCAGAATAGCCTTTTGTTATTACAGAATTTTCAATTTTAGAATCTATTAAACAAGAAGGTGTAGTTTATAGATAGAGTGCTTGGTTTTAATACTTACCTTTGACTTCTACTGTATAAGCTTAATCTGTTGGAATACTAGATAGCAATTGCTATCATTTATTTAGTTCAATAGAGAAAAAATCGAAAAGTTTAAATTTTATACATTATGATTGTTAAGATCACGAATAAATGACAATAACAAAAGTAATCAAATTTATTGGTAATGATGATTAACAATATAGTTTTGAATTCAATATAAATATCTTTGAATATGAAAATCAATGGTATTATTTTGAATTCATAATATTTCCTTATAACAATAGATTTTAAATAATAATTATAAAAAACGAACAAATCCTTAAAAATGAAATTTTGAATGTTATACCATTTAAAGATTAAATAATAATATAAAAAATAGGTGATGATTTAGTTATTGTAGATTCAAAAATAGTAAATATTAGTATTGGAGATAAATTTGCTACATTTCCTGGTAAAATTATGCCTATTATGAATAATAATAATATTTTTGATTTTGCTTCAGCCGCAATTAAATTGGTAAAGTAGAGAAAATAATGTAGATGTTAGAGGAATTCTATAAATAATTTAATTGACTCAGATTATAATTATCTTAATACATCAATTTATACTTCATAATTCCAGAATTGCGATTCTTTAATATTTTCTGGATGGTTTAAGATTAATGAAATAATTCAAATTGATAAAGAAATGACATTTTAATTTATTAAATTGACTTCAAATATGTAAAATAATTAATTATAGAATTAAAATATATCTCCTTTATAATTGTTTTATAAACTATCATAGGATTTAAATGAAATTATTATAACAAGTTATAGTTACACATTTCCATCTGTTACTTTAGATTTTACAAATGATCCTTTTTTAATCACTCAAAAATTTAAGATTACAAATAATATATAATTATGGCATTTATTATATGTAAAATTAGTAGAAGATATTTGGGATCTAAATATCAAATTTTATGAAAAATAGTAAGTTTATGAATACAAGACATAAATTATAGTTAAACAATTTCATTAAATATTTTATAAGCTCTATTTGGGTAATTTATAATAATCAACTTCTAATTATTTAAATATAATGGGTAGAAATCTCTATTTCTTTAATTGTAATCAAAACTTTTAATAAAAAAATTGTCATTAAAGTTGTGGGGAATGTGATGGTCCTACTTATTAAGATTGTTTATCTTGTTCTATAGAATCATAAAGAATATACCTTCCAGAATATAAGTAATGTGTATGTCCATATTATACTATTGATGAGGATAATAAATGTATGAGTTATTTAGACTTTGATTTTAAATTAATTTCTAATGTAGAATATAATGAAGGCTGTAATTATGGACAATTTGAACTTAATGGATCTTGTTAATAATGGTAATTTTAATTAATTATTATTAAAGTCCAGGGTTACTAAATTCATAAACTATAGGCTGCTTAGAATGTGTTATGAATCCAACAGATTGGTAGAGGAGTCCTTTTTGTGAAACACATTTATACTTAAATTAGGATGGTAGCACATCTGAATTAAAAAAATAATATCAAATGTCTAGATAATATTTCACTTTTAATGGTATTAATCTTGAACTATGCTCTTAATGTTAAGAATCTAGCCTTACAAATTAAAATAATATAAATTAAGATATAGCTTATAAATAGGAATCCTTTAAAAAATTTTGTTTTTCTGAAAGTTCATTAGATTAATGTTATATATGCAACATTTAATACTGTAAGGTTTGTGTAGTTTTAATAACAAAATAAGTTTGTCTTTCATGCTAGGACATGCATATTTTAAATGATGATCATTGTACTATGTTTTCATTAGGTAAGATAGAAGAAAATAATTGTTTATCACCATATTATATATCTTCAACTAAGGAATGTAAATTATGCACTATTGAGAATTGTATTTATTGTTTTGAATATGTCGTAGATAATTTGACATTAACTACTCTTTAAAAGAATTTCTAATAATTTAATGGAGATGATGATATTTAAGTAGGATGTGCTATGTGTAAAGATGGATATGTATTTGATTTTAGAATTAATTTATGTGTAAAGCAAACTCCAAAAATAGAATCTTGTCTTAGAAGTTATATTAATAATGAGGGAACAGAAAAATGCACTTTATCAACTAAATCAGATTTCTCAATTTCAAGAGAAATAGTCAATTGTGAATAATTCATTTCTAATTGTCTTTAATGTTTTCTAACAGTATAATCTATCTTAAGATGTATTATATGTAAAGAAGGTTATACAACTTCAATTACTGAAGTAAATGGTTAATGCATTATTAGCTAAAAACCTAATTAAATAATAAGTATATAAGGAAATTCTTACTTAAAAGATGCATGGATGTAAAGGATATAAAGTTTTATGGGATCCTTCTTACCAAATTCATACTTTTATCCATTATCCTTATAAACTTATTAAATTGAAGAGATAGCAATCACATGTAAGGAAGGATATAAGTTAGCTAAATTGAGATATTGTGTTTAATATTGCGATTCAAATTGTTAAGAATGTAAACTAAGTTCTTCAAAAACTGAATATTTTTGTTATAAATGTTCATTAGATTATTTTAAGTAGAATCAAAGAGTTTAAATTGAAGGAATTTGTTAAACATGTTCACTTCTTTGTGCTTATTGTTAATCCAAAAGTAATGATGAAATTATTGTAATTTATTTTTTTATCATATTTAGTAAACTTCACCTAATTTTATTTAGACCTCAGGTAATTAAATCTTTTCCAAAAATTGTTATATACCTACTTAAGATCCAAATATTATTATTTTACCTAAATAATTTATTCCTATATATTGTTTAGATTAATCTTGCTAAAATAATTTATTGTATGTATTCTAAAATCAAATGTGCTCTGAAGAAAGATTTCTACTTTATTATTTACTTACTAATGCAAATATAAAGTATTTAAATTAAGTTGGAGTATAAAAAATTATTATTCAAATTGAGTATCCAATAGCCACTAAATAATGTAATGGTGGAATTTAAATAAATAGTATTTCTCTTAAAGAAAATATATTTTCCTTAAAAAAAACTACTCTAATTATTAATGGTAATGCAGCATTATTTAATAAAACTTCATATAATTATCTTATTGAAAATTTTGACACAATTCAGATCTCCAATTTTACAATGATTTTAGATAATTCTTCCTTAAACTTTGGAAATTCTATGTTAAAACTTATAATGAAGAATATTATTTTTATTGGAGATTAGCAATAATAAGAGAGACTATTACTTAATTCAAATTAATTAAATAATATAGATTTAGTAAACATCACAATTAGTAATGCATTTTTTTCTTAATCTTCATTCTTTCACATAGATTCTTTAGAATTTAAAGAATAATTACATATTGATACGTTTTTAATCTTAAATTCTACATTTATAAACTCTAATCTATTTTTGATTAAGAATAGTTAATTATCTATGTATATCAATAATTTATAAATTGAAAACTGCACATTAGTTAATTCATCAATTATAAATATGAAATTGAATTTATCTTTTAAAAACAATACATAGATATCAACATTTATCATGAAAAATTGTAAATTAATATAGTCCTACTTATTTTATTTTCTTGGTTAAATGAACATACTTATTGAAAACTTAAATTTATATGCAAATTCTTTATAGAATTCAAGTATATTAGCTAATAGTTATAATACTTCAATAATTAATGCAATAATTCAAGATAATAAATTAGATTCATCAAGCTTAATAATAACAAATGATGTAAATATTACAGGAAATTATTTATTTAGTATGATGTAAATAAAGGTGTAAAACTTAATTTCATATAATTCAAATTTATTTTAAATATCTACAAATTCTCTTTTTTAATAATTGATAATTTAAATGAACGATATAATTGTTAATAATGTTTAAAGATTAGATAATCTCAATTATTAAAACTATATATTTAAAATTAGTCATTGTTCTTAATGCAGCATAAAATAGATTGAAATTAATAATATTAAAAATATTTCAACTTTATATTTTTTAGAAAGTGATGAAATTTTAATTGAAAATTTTAAAGTTCTTTAGGATATATAAAAGAGATAAGTTCATTTGTCTTAATCCTGTAAATAATCATAATAGTTATAAAACTAGTTTATTCATATACAAGGGTTTAATTATTTTAAATTATAAAATGGAGAAATAATTAATTGTTAATTAGTAGATACAATACTTATTGAAATAATATCAATATTAGAAAATGAAGCGAATAGTAAAGAAATTATTGAAATAAAAGATTTATAATTTAAAAGGAACATCATAGAGTAAAATCAATAAAGTATGCTATCATTATTAAGCATATACTCAGAAAAGATGTAAATAATAAAGATTTAGAATATCTAATTTATTAATAATTTCTTTCATTAATATGAAGATGATCCAAATGAAAATTCTGCTGGTTTAATTTAAATTCATTCTACATAAGGAGAAATATAAATAGATAATATATTTTGTCAAGAAAATGCTATAACAAATTCATCAGCTTCCTTTATATATATCATATCAAAATCAATCTTCATTAATAATTATATAATTAATAATCATAATATTATAAATTAGTAATTATGGAGTTAATTTTATAAATTAGAAATTGATTAATAATACAATTAAGATTAAATTAATTAAATAATATAATAGATTTATCCAATAAATGTTCAGGGAGGTGCAGCAAAAATAATTACTTAATTATTAATATGTACAAATTCAATTTTTCAAAATATTTTGGCATCAACAAGTTCAATCTTTTAAATTAAAACCTAAGGTTTAGGTATTGTTAAATTTAACAACATTTCAAGTAATCTAATATTTAATACTAAAAGAGACAATAATGATAATTTTGGTTGTATTAATATTAATTCTTAAAACAGTAATTTACAATTAGAGTTACAACATTCAAATTTTAGAAATGTATAAAATGGAATGAGTACAGCAATCTTAACTGTTAGACCATCATAAAGAATAACTAAAATATCATTTAAAAATATATAGATAATAAACTGTTTCTCATTTTTAAATTAAATATTTTAAATACAGTTTTCAACTTACAATAATTAAAATTTAAATTAATTATCAATTAATAATATGACTATAATTTTTGATGAATTAGAATGGATGATATATTTATAAAAATTTGGATTGCTAAGTCAAACCGAAATTGCACAAATAATTGATGATAATTCAATTTTTAATATAGTTGGAGGATAAATTTAAATTAATAAATTTTATATCCAAGGAATCCTCATATCTCCAATTTTTAAAATAATAAATTCAATTAAAATAGATATTAGACATTGCTATATTAATGATGTTCAATCTTTCTATCCATAATAACTTATTATTTTAAATTAACAATCAAATTCAACGGTTTTATTGGAAAAAGTAGAAATTTAACAATTTTCAATTTATTTATTAAATATGGAATAATATTAATTCTAAAAAATACCATAATTTAGAGTTATAGGATGCTAAATAAAATAATTGTCTTAATTAACTAATTTTAACTCTAAAATCCTAATAGATGAAAATATTAAATAATTGTCAAAATTATCTCAAAAAATAAGTTATCCACTTATTCAAATTTTAAGTTCAAATAGTGAATCAAAATTAATCTTAAATTAAGTGAAATTGATTTAAAACAATTGTTTAAATTATACTTTAGGATTATTATTCATTGGTCTTACTGATTTTAGATTTGTTAGAATAGATAATTTTTAGTGTTTTAAGAACTAAATATAAGAATATGGATGTTTATATTTAAAAGCAGATGAATAAAATAGTAAATAATAATAAGTAGTGATATAGAATTCTATATTTATTCAAAACAATGGTAGTTAAGGTACTGGCATCTAGGCTGAAAATATTAAACTTTTAATATATTAATGCAAAATAATTGAAAATTATGCAAGCAAAAAAGGAGGAGGAATGCTATTAAATGTTAATAAAAATGAATTCAATATTCAATCTTCTATTTTCATGTTGAATCGAGCTAAAATTGGTGGTGGTATTTATTTTTAATCACAAACTAATTTAAATCAAGATAATTTTCAAAATTCTTTTTTGCTTTTCAACAATGCATATGCTTATGCAAATAATTTAGTTGAAGCTCCAACCCATTTAAGCATTTCTATTAATCAAATGGAAATGCCATCAGAAAAATAATTACTTGGTAACTAAACCATTTTCGCTACAGTTATATAACCATATAACATTATTGAATAAGGAAAAGTATTCAAGGCATAATAGCTAATGATTCCCAGTAATTAGTAGATCAAGAAGTATAAAATATATATTCCAAAATTCTTTGTATTTAGAAGTTATATTGAAGTAATTTTAATACTTTTTAAAAATCGTTATAATGAAAATTTGGAAAATTTAGATAATTCTTCTTGTTTAATAGAGACAACAATAAATTTCGAAAACAAAACCATTGCCTCTTATGAGAGAATGGTTTAAAGTCTCTCTTATGATTAAGATTCTAAGGCTTTTGACTTAAGTTCTCTTTCCTTTAGTTTTGATCCTTATTTTCAAGATAAGAAAATTTTAGCAATAGAATTAAACTGCAAGGCTGAACCTAATGATAAACCATTGTAATACTAAATTTATGCTAAAACCTTAAAATGCTAATAAGGAGAATTTTATATTGATAAGGGTTGTTAAGTTTGTTAATCAAATTAAGGATTCTACTCTGTAACTTACAATACTACAAAATGTTCCATTTTTGATAAAGAAAAATTTGAGAATATTACATCAAATAAAATAAAACTATTGGAAGGGTTTTGGAGACCAAATTATCTTTCTGATTATACAGAAAGATGTATCAAAAACCCAATATTTTGTTCTGGGGGTTGGGATGTAGGAAATAATCTATGTAGTCAAGGTCATGTTGGAGGTTTATGCGAAGAATGTGATAATTTTGATATAAGAGGAGATGGAATGTTTTATAGAAATTTGTAGAATTCTTAATGTTATGGATGTAATAGAATTTAAGAAAGTATTATACCATTTGTATTAACTTCTATATGGTAAGAGTATTTAAATTGTTATTAGGTCTTTAATTTCAATTTTAATAACTTTAAAAAGTATTGAAAAATCTAATAGATTATTCTCATCCCTAAAAATTAGATAAAGATTTAGCAAAATCATTTTTAAGTTAGATTAAGGTAATTTAAAGTTACTATTTAAGATCATGAAAGTATTCTTATCAAAATGTTATTGAATTATTTGTGGATATTTTCAGTAATATTTACTTTTAACACTAATTTCTCATTTTCAATAAATTTTATTGAATTAACAAGCAATTCTTCATATTTTATGGCTAATAATTTAGATTGTTATCTATCTTAATTACAAAGTTTAGAACTTATTTATATCAGAATAATTGCTATGTTAATTTTGATAGCCATCTAATTATTAATTATATGGTTTGGATTCACATGTTATTCTTTATGTAAAAATTGGACTTTTAACAAAAGTATTATTTCAAATACAGTCTTATATTTATATGTATCAAATTATGCTGCTTTAGTCAAACAGTAATTTATTTGATCATCAAATCATTAGGTTATGTTCAATTCTTTCAAAAAGATAAATTTCAAATATAGCATACATACAAGGAGATGTATCTCTTAATTATGGAACAGAAACTCACATGTCTTGGATAATTGGATTTGCTATTCCAGGTCTTGGAGTTATTGGTATTTTAATTCCCTTTTCCTTATTTTTTTTAATGTATATTAATAGGGAACAATTAGATTAAATTAAACTAAGGAGGCATATTTGCTATCTATTTAATGAATACAATTCTGAAAGTTATTATTGGGAATAAATTAAACTCTCAAAAAAAACAATTATCATCATTATATTGACATATTTTGAAAGTAATGTATTATTAACGGCCTCATTGCTTGGACTATGTTTGCTTTTTTATTAATTATTAGCTGTAAAGCAGAAGCCATATATTATTTAAAGTTTGAACTTTTTAGATATACAAACAGGATAAATTTGTTCTATAACTATATTTATTAGTGCAGCAAAATATGTTTCAGAAAAGGAAAATGCAACACCATTATCAGTTCTGCTTCAAATTTTTATTATTATTTTATGCATCAGATTATGCTATCCATTTATTATTAATATTTTTAGAGTTTATTTTAAGAAATACAAAGTAGCTTTTATTGAGTAATTACACAAAATATTCAGATCAATAAAAGCAGATTGTTTTCTTACTACATATTTGAATAATCAATTAAAGAAGTTAAATTATAGAGAGTAACGTAGAAGAACTAATTTTGCTAAATTACGATGCCATTTAATATAAATATCAAAATTGTAAATAGGACATTAAAAGTAAAAATTATTTATAAGTAGACATATGATTTCAGTGATTACATCATAATCAACTATGAGATTTCGTTAAACTGTGACGATAACAGATGTAGAAATGAACAAACTGATAAGTCCTTGAGAATAGAGTATATATTATATTCTAATATGATTTTGTAAAATATAATCAAAAATTTACAAATATAAATAAAACTATTTAATTCATAAATAATATTGTGATCAATATCTTATTTTAATCTTCTATAATCTATTAAATAGAAATATTTATTGAATTGATAAAGCTAAGATGTTAAAAGTTTGACAAGAAAAATTGTAAATCTTTAAATATCTGTCAGTTGCTTACTAGATTTAATAATCTTTATTTTATTATGTATTTGAAAATAAATTTTAAAGATTATTAAAATCTACTTTCTAAAAAATTAATATATTGTCACTAAACATCTTAAAGCTTTCATATTAATGTATAGCATTACTAAGATTTTCATATTCTTAATAGTTTTTTCTTTATAAAAGATAACTTATAAGATATTTAGAAATATAATTATTTGAGATTTTATGAAAATCCATTTCCCTATAATAATGGCATACTTTTAGTAGGTTTAAGTATCAAAAAAGTGTAAGAATAGAAAATGAATGAATGAGGCATCATCCCATTGTAAATTTTAAAGAGACAATATATTTTTATTAAATTTCTAGTATTTCTAAAAATATTAAAATGTATATTCAAGATTTATTTTTGCTTTATAGAAATTTTTAAATATATAGTAAAATTAAAATAGTTAATATATTTTATAAAAAGTACCTTTTATATGATAGTAATAGAAAAATTGAATAAGAATTGAGCAACTTATTAAAATTTCTGAAAGTTGTTGAATAAATTTTGTTTAATTATGAACCTGTAAGATCAAATTATATGATAAATTTAGAAAAGTTATTACATTGATAATATTATATTAGGGTACTTATATGAATTAGGATAATATTGAGCAAAATTTCTAGATTTACTATTTAAGATTTTGCTGTTTTGAACGAATATTTATGTAATTTTTACAACAATATAAATTAAAAAGCAAATAAAATATTATTTTTAAAGAAATATTTTTAGGATACTCTCAAAATACAATTTGTTAATTTTATTAATAAGCCATAATTTTGAATGTCAATAATATCTTATTTATCATCTGAAATTATATTTAATAATTTGAAGTAAAAAAACATTATTAAGGAAGAATATCCATCTGTAGGTGATAAATTTTTTTTGATTTATTTAATTTAAATAATAATGTATAAATATTTGAATTAATCATAAATTAATAGATAATAATAATTTAATAATGTCCATAATAAAGGCTAAATTGGTATGATTAAGTATTATAAGGATAAGAAGTAAAACTGTAAAATAAGTTTATATAATGTTATATATTAATTAAGAATTTTGAAAGTAAACTATTAGAGTTATCAATCCAAAATTTTAAATTTAGTTTTTCCAAGTGAAATATTACAATCTGGGCATGAGTGTTATACATCCTTACAGTCATCAATAATGCAAGGAAGACAAGAAACACAAACTAAACCAAATGAACATAACAAAAGTAAACAAGAAGCAACATAAGTTTATACTCCAGGTTTGCGCACAACAATAGTATCGACCTAAATTACTGGTTTAATTTACCTTTTTCTTACATTATGGACATTAAACTCTAACAGATTTAATATGACCGTCTCCACTTTCTTGAGTTGATGAAACTAATTTAATTTATTCCAAAGTGAATGGTGCTAACTTATTTTGTTTAGGCTCGATTGCTTGATTAGGTATCATTATTTAGTTCTAACTTCTATCATCTGTTTATTAAATTTTATATTAGTCAGCATTATTTTAAATGTGAATAAATATCTCATCACCTTCGCTTTGTTACATATTCTAATTTTCTTCTTTGCTCATAATAATTAAATACTAAAAATTATAATTATGAGTTTATTAAATCTGTAATGTAAATTAACAATGTTAGTTTTTGTAATCTAAGAAGATATATAGATGCAAAGTTTAGAATTTGATGATTATGAAATTAATTGTTTATAAGAAAGAACTTTTCAAATTTATATATGAAAAACGCAGTTTTAATTTTAAGTAATAAAATATATTTGAAAATAAATAAAAAATAATGTAATCAGAACTTGAGATTTAGGCAGTGATAGGATTTACAGGTATTTAAAATGTTTATAATAAAAGGAAAAATAACTTAAGGATTAGTTTTACATCCAGATAATGAAGTATGATATATTATATTAGCTTAAAGCATGTTATTTATCCATTAGGTTCAACCATCGTAGTTAGACATATAATTACTAGATAATAAACATTTTTAAGGTATGGATAAGTGATATATTAAATTAGAGGACATGATAATTAGATCTCTGTGATAACAGTTTCTAGAACTGGAGATTATGTAGCATCTGGATAAAAAACTTATATGGGATTCTAAGCTGATATTATAATATGGGATTTCAAAGACAGAAGCATGATTCATAGATTAAAATTACATAAGGTGTTGATTTAATCACTAAGCTTCTCTTATAATGAATTATACTTGGCATCATTGGGTGGAATTGATGATAAAAATATGTTGATTGTTTGGGATATTAAAGCAGGAAAGGCATTGTATGGAACACCTAATCGTGATCCAGTAAATTAAGTCTAATTTTACAACTAATCAGATGAAAAAATGATAGCAGTTTTAAATACTGGAGTATAGATTTTAACAATAGATAAATAAAATAAAAAGGTATAATAGAAGATTATATAAAGATTTAATCTGTTGATGTGAATTTTGGAAATGTTAAAAGAACCTTTAATTGTGTTGCAATAGATAAAAATGATAAATTTTGTTATTGTGGAACAAAAACAGGAGATGTATTTGAAGTTTAAATGGATATGGCCATTTATAAAAGATTGGCACCAGTCAAGAAATTATTTTCTTAAGGAGTTAATTGTTTAGGTCTATTACAAAATGGTGACATAATAGTTGGAGCAGGAGATGGTATGATTGCAAAAGTGTCATTTTAAACAATGTAAATAGTGGCAAGTAGTGAATTATTAGGAGGTGTGACATCTATTTCATTTACAAATGATTAGACTCACTTTTTTGCAGGAACTAGTCAAAGCAATATTTATTGGTTAGATACAGAAAAATTAATACCAGAATTAAGAAATACATGTCATTATGAAAGAATTAATGATGTAGCCTTCCCTCATAATTATTCAGATGTATTTGCTACTAGTTCATTAAATGATATAAGAGTTTGGAATGCTAAGAATAGATAAGAATTACTTAGAATTTAAGTTCCAAATCTTGAATGTTGGGCTGTTGCTTTTATGAATGATGGTAAAAGTATTGTAAGTGGTTGGAGTGATGGAAAGATCAGAGCCTTTTTACCATAATCAGGTAGATTGTTATATGTAATTAATGATGCACATATTCATGGTTGTACATCTTTGACTTGTACATCTGATTGTTAAAGAATTATTTCAGGTGGATCAGAAGGAGAAGTTAGAGTATGGGAAATTGGAAAATAAACTTAAGTTATGAAATCTTCAATGAAAGAACATAGAGGAAGAGTATGGTCTATTTAAGTTAGAAGAAATAATGAGTAAGCAGTTAGTGCTAGTGCAGATGGATCATGTATTATTTGGGATCTAAAATCATTTACCAGAGTTATGTGTTTATTTGAAAGTACCTTATTCAAAATGGTTTTGTATCATCCTGAAGAGAGTTAATTATTAACTACAGGAAGTGATAGAAAAGTATAAAATCATTTTATAAAAGATTACTTATTGGGAAACCTTTGATGGATAAGCTATCAGAATGTTGGATGGATCTGAAGAAGGGGAAGTTAATGCTTTAGCAATTACTAAGGAAGGAGAACATTTTGTATCAGGAGGAGAAGATAAGGAAGTTAAATTATGGGGATATGATGAAGGAATCTGTTATTTTAAAGGTTAAGGACATTCAGGTACTATAACAAGAGTATTTTTTAATTTTAAATTAGATTACTATAAGTCCTGATTAAAAAACTATTATATCAGTTGGAGCAGAAGGAGCCATATTTATATGGAAAATGCCTGAATCTGTTATTAACTCTAAAGCATAATAAGAATTACCAACTGTTCAAAGCGTAAAAAAACAAAATGAGTTTCAATAATAATAATAATAATAATAATAAGTACCTAAAGATGCATAATCATAAAAATCAAATCCAAATGCTAAATCAGTTAAATCAGGAACCAAATCATCAAAAAAATGATAGAATTTTATTTACATTCATAATAAAGGATTAAAAATAAATATTTATATATTGTATCTAAATTTTATTAGAATTTAGAAAATAAAATTTCTTATAGATAATCATTTTTTTGACTATCCAAATTAATTAAATTTATTGCGATTACTTTCCAACATATCCTCCTATTTGATTTCACTTTATTTTTAAATATTTGAATCAATCTTTTTAATATCACTTTATTTACATGAATTTAATAAGTCCTAATTTAGTGCTTAATTCTACTATTATTATTTTTCATTTTAATTTTATTACTTCCCTTACTAAGTTTGAGTAGTATCCTCTGCTTTCTTAATTAAATTTTAATTTTTTTAATCTTTATATTGAGCTTAAATTTATTAAATAATTGCTGTTTCTGCTAATTTCTTTATTTAATTCAAATCAAATTAAGTTACATTATAATGTTTTTCTAATTCCTCTTTAATTTATATTCTTATTGTATTAGTTAAATTGATATAACCTTAGTCATTCATAAGTTAAGTTTACAGCATTAATTACTGTGCTTTTTTGCCTTAAGTTGTATCTGCAACAAGCTTTCTTGTATTTTCAACTAGGATATGATTAGCATCCTAGTGTAATTTGTGATTTAAGGTATAATTTTCAACAAATTTCTCCCCTTCCCAAATTTTTTTTTCTTATGGAATGGATGAATTATAGAAAATGTATTAAATAAATGTAAAAATACCTATAATTATATACACTAATGCCAAATATCCAAAAACTCCTATCAAAATATAACCAGAATAATTATAATAAGATTCTATTGCAATAAAAGTATAAAAGAGAATAAAATTCAACATTAATTATGTACCTAATTTTCTCTTCTCAATACTTCTCTATTGAGCTGATGTTACTTATTTAGGTACTTAAAGAAATTACCAAAAATATGTTATCATTGAAAGTTTGACAAAAATCCAAACTATTCCTAATTTTTTTGTAGTTAATTGAAAAATTAACACAAAAATTACAAAAATTAATAAAATTATTTCATAAGTTGATTATTCAGTTATTAATATCTTACCATGTATGATTATTAAATTTGCAATAATAAATGCTGTTACTCCAAAATCTAAATAATTTTAAGTATCAATTAAATAATTAATATACACACTTATGTATTTTAATTGAGGAAATTTATACAAAAAATAAAGTTCATTTTCTTATAACAATTCATTACCCATAGAATAAGAAGTATTTTTAATATATTCATCCTCTTAAACTTCAAAATTAATTTCATTTTACTTATCATATTCTTTAGTGAATAAAACATCAATGTTTTAAGAACTTACTGAAGTTTGAAATAAAAATTCCTGTTTATCATTTTTTTAAGCCATCATGGCAATTTCTTAGTCATAACCCTTTTCAATGATTTTGTCATTAAAATGATATAGTTATGTTAGTAATAGGAATAATAAAACATTAATGGTATAGAAAATTGGTAGTATAACAGCCAAAGCAGTATATCCAATTGATTCCTCAAATAAGTTATAGATTAGTTGATATGGACATTAAAAGGAAAAGAAAAAACCTAATTTTATTGAAATATAAATTACAGATTGAAATCCCAAAGTAATTATATATAACTTAGATTTTAGAAATAAACCATTGTAAAATATTCTTAAATAAATGAAATCTGCATTTCCTTAATTAATTGTTGATATTTTATTGGTATTCACAAAATTAATTAAATACAATTTCAAATTAATTCTCAGAAAATTACTATTCGATAATGTAATTTGTTATAATCTTTAATTCTTTACCTGAATATTCAATCATAATTCTAGGTAATATTGAATTATATCCTAATGCCCAAGAATTAGTAAAATATTCACTCTCAAGTTTACGTATATAATCATTTATTATAGGTTCAATTCTAGACCATTCATATATACAAGAGAGAGGATTATGAAACTATTTAATTTTAAACATGGAATCTAATTTAAGAGCAATATCTGCAAAATCTCCTTATTAACTATTCCAAAATCTCCCATTATATTTAATTTTCTTCAAACATGAAATTCCAAAATATTAATTATTCTCTAAAATTGTAAAGAGTTATAAGATATTAATATTTTCAAGAAAAACTTCATTACTAGATGCAATAACAACAAACTTTGGTTAAATTAATTTTAGTATCCCTTAATAAATCCATTTAATCAAATCTAATTATTCTAATTATCTGCAAAAAACAAAAAAATATCCTATTTCATTTTTAATTTAGAAATAGATGGTATGATGATTAGAAGTCATAAATTTTTATTAAAATGGAACGTATTTAGTTTAATAAAAACTTAAGAATAATTCTTCATTAGATCTCATTAATTTCTTAAATGCAGATTTACCATTTATTAATATTATTGGTTTTATTTTTGTTTATTCATTGCTATATTTCTATATTTCATGAGTTAAACTTTCATAAGTTTCTCCTTTATAAATTAATATTGCTACATTTGATCCAGGAATATTAGTTGTGTTTTATTCAAAGCTAATTTATGCTTAACTTTACTATAATACTTAAGTCTAATATTCTTTTAGAAATCCATATTATCCTGCATTAGGTTATAATGATTTAGGGCCAAACATTACATCAGGTAAATAATTTTCTAGATTTTGGTTTATTTTTTATGTGAACTATAATGGTTGTTCAACTATCTCAATATATTTTTTCATATATTCTATTTTTTTGATAAGTTAATATTTTTGTGTTTTAGAAATGAATCGTATTAAATCAAATTTATCAAGTGATAGTGGATAAGTAAGGTATTATTTATTTTTTTAATCTTCTATTTCTATTTGAAAAGGTATTTCTTCTTTTTCATCAAAAATTATCAAACAATCTTTTTCTATACTCATTTTTATAAATATTAATATTCATAATTGTTCTATAATTAAATTACTTTAATATAAGCAGAAATAGATTATTAATGAACGAATCTTTGAACTAAATATTTTTGTTATTTAAATATCAAATGAATCATTTTCTGATATTTATAAATTTGCTTAAATTCGTATTTAGACTTATGATAAGATATTTTTGATGATTAAAATAGAAATAATATATATTATATATATAATATATATTAAACCAATAATTGTGTGTACAATTATAAAATAATGATATATTAATAATAAAATAATGGCAGAACAATAAAAATTTTCACATCCTTTTCCTAAATTGCTATTTGATGATAGTCATATTCAATTTAAAAAATACTCAAAATATATTATAGATACAGATGCTGGATCAGATGATGCACATGCAATTCTAATTGCCTCTTATATTCTTAAATATATACGAACTGATGCAGAATTGATAGGAATAACAGCAGTGGCAGGTAATGCAGCACTTGAAAATGTTATAAAAAATGTATTTACTCTATTTAATCAATCAAGGTGTATATTACAACAAGGATTGGACATTTTGGTGAGAATCCTCCAAAAATATATAAAGGATGTAGAACAGATACATTAAGAAGATTTTATAGAGATAATTATTTTTTAGAAGATGGATTAGGTGGATAATAATTAAGATTATTAACTGAATTAGGTTTATAAGATAAACCATTAGAATATTTTCATGAAAAATAACATGCTTGTGATTTCATTAAAGATTCTATTTATAAATATGGAGAGGATTTATGTATTATTTGTATTGGACCAATGACTAATATTTATTTAACATTATAAATGTATCCAGATATTGTTGATAAACTTGGATGTTTATTTGCTATGGGTGGAACATATATGGGAGTAGGAAATGCAGCTAATTCAGTAGCTGAATTCAATGTATAAACAGATGTAGAAGCTACAGCAGCAGTAGCTATGGCAAAGTTTAAATAAAAGATGTTATTGCCATTTGATGTTGTTTTAGCTTACACTTTAGATAAATAGAATGGAAAAGTCATATTTGAAAATGGAGCTAATACAAAGAAATCTCAATTTGTTGAAAGTATTTTCAAAGCTGTAAGTCATGATGGAAACTACATACTTTGTGATGGTATATTCATTTACAATATCTATTATAGAATTGGCTGTAATGGTAGCATTAGTACCAAGTTTGATAGTTTATTCTTTATAAAAGAATATATCTATTGTCTCTGATGGATAGGCAAGAGGATAAGTTATCATAGATTGGTTAACATTGCTGAGAGGAAATCAAAAATCAATAGTAAGTATTCTAACAGCTTTTGAATGGGATTCTGTTATTGAAATAGCTACTAAAGCTAATTAAGATCAATAATGATTTATAAAGATCAAATATTTACATTAATTTAAGAATTTTTAAATTCATAATTCAACTTCATATTATTCTTCTATTTTTGGTTAATAATTTAATAAATCTCCAGGATTATCTACTTTTAGTAATTTATTAATTAATGGAATCAAGTATATAAGTAGAAGGGTCAATTCAAAAAAGTAAAGTAAACCAATAAAAAAAAACTAAACTACAATATTACTGTCTAATTAAAGTAAAAATTATTTTGTTTATTTTCTAAAATAATATGGTAACATCAACCCTATTATTAATATTATTGTTCTTATTATTCCTTTTTTAGTAAAGAATTTATAACTATAAAGTTGAGGTTCATAAATTCCTTTTTTATAAAGTAAACTTATAAATATAAAATATGGAAAAGTAATTATAGATATTCCAATTATATCATGTTTTTCAAAAGAAGTATTATAAATCTTATCATTTCCGTTACACTTTTATTAAAAATCAGCCATATCTTTCCAATTTTATTTAAGTTGATTTAATATCTATGAATTAATACAGCCTTAATATATTATAAATGATGCTGTAATAATTATAATCAAATATATTATCAAAATTATTTAATAAATCTTAACAGGTTCTTTCTATATTGCTTAAATCAATAGTTATTTGATTTTATTTTACATTTCACAATTATAGAAAATAAATAATAAGTATAATCCCATAATCCATCCTAAAATAACTTAATTCAAAAAATGTACTCCAAAATAAACTCTAGCTATACCTGTAAATAATATAAACAAAATTAAAATTATGCTTCTTATTATTTGATTCTTCAAACTAATTTCATTTTTTTATTGTTACTCAGGCTAAATCATTAAATATAATTCTTCTGATTCAACTTTATTAAAGTCTTATTATTGGTCACTATATTGTGTTTACAACATTTTAAATAAAATTACATAAAATACTAAAGCTCTACATGCATGTCCACTAGGACCTCCAAAACCATATTGACAAAAATCTAATTAAATTTTATTATCAATATAAAAAGGTCTTGGTTACTTTAGTATCATTTTAATAAAATCACCAAAGAATGACGAAATAGAATACATTATAATTAACTATAAAGTTTACAATTTATTTGCCTATTTTAACCATAAGAAGATTAAAATATAATACATTATATTCCTATCCCCTAAAGTAGAAAATACATAAAATATTAGTTCTTTTATTTGCAATAATAAATACCAATAAATCCTTTAAGGTTTCCAAATTCAAATTATTCTTATAGAAATATAGTGAAGCGATTACTTATTTCAAATGATTAATCTCCATAATTATAATCTAAATAGATATAGATAATTAAGATTAGCGTTGAAAAACAAAATTTAATCATAATAAATTAATCTCAAATAATTAAATTTAATGACATCAAATATCATATATTCATCAAAGATTTATATTGTAAAACTCTCTAATTTCTTATTCGATTATTGTAAATATTTCCTCTCTTAATATTTAAATACTTTTATTATCATTCTCTTTTATAGAACAAAGTCTAACTTTATTCATATTGTTTTAGCTATTAATAATTGAAGATATTTAATTAACATTCTCTTTTAGAGTAATAAATATCATAATTATTGGTAAAATGAGTTCTAAATTAATTATAAATATTTACAATGATTTAAAAATAACTTAAACTTATCCTCATCACCAATCTCCTCTAAGATTAATAAGAATCCAATAGTAAAATTAGGTTTGAATAATTCAGATTATTTAACTATTTCAAATAAAGCAGGAGTAACTTAAACCTTATTACCAAAAGTAATATCCTTTAAACATTTAGTATAATCAGAACAAATTCCTTGGATTCCATTTGAATTTTTGGAAATTTCAAAACTTAATTATATAAATACTATTACTAATCTTTATTGGTTTACTGATAATTTCCACCAAAACCAAAAAGCTTTCCTGAATTTGATTAATTATATTAAAATAGCTATTATCCAATCATGATCATGAACTATTAAAATATATTTAATTATTAGTGAGATATTTAGTGAAACTTCATTGAGTTCTTTGTGAATTCAAAAAAAATATTAGTTTATATTTGTGTTTTTTTAAGTTAATTCAAAAAATTTCTATTTGGATTTATTTAAAATGAAAGTAATTTCAATTAACCGCAAGATGTCTATTATTTTATCAATATTGAATACATGATTTGGGTTTTATAATTCAAATATCTTTGACTAAGATGATAATATATCAAAAATTGAAATTTCTAAACTTCCTATATATTTATGTTTTGGAGGATTCTTTTTAGAATGATCCCAACATTCTATTTTAAAATTCTTGGATTAATCCTAAAAATTCATCAAACCCATATCTAATTAGAATGGAATCCATGTTGGATTTAAGTTATTTTCTATATATTCTGTCTGATGAATTTGATTCCATTATTCCCCATCCCATTAATAAAATTACAAGAATGGATCTGATTTACTGAATAATCCATCTGTGTTTAAAAGTTTGATACCTGACCAATGTTGGAATACTAAGTTTCCTTACAAAATCAACTATGATTATAATTAAATGGAATAATAAGTATTTTCTTTGACTAAGTTTTCTTTCTATAATAATTCACCTAATTAAAACTAAATATATTGAAATAATGTTACATCTAGTGATCCAATAGATGCTTTATCATCAAAACTGATATCTATTCTATAAGTTTGAAATTTGTGAAAATCAAAGTGAGTATTAAATGTTGTTTTCCAATTTTCATTTTCCTTATTCATTTTAAGGACATTTTTCAAAATTTTAAATATCTGCTCATTTGATTCTTTATAGGCCAAAGAAAGCTTAACTTCTTTAGGCTTCAATTCCTTAAAGTTAAGTGTTATTTGAACAGAAATATTTTTAAATATGCAATCTTATTTCATCACTATTTAAAATGATATTATAATTATTAATGGGTTTTGATGTATGAATTATAATAACGATATTAATTCAATTTTAAAAAAATCAAATAATTATGTGATACTATAAACTCAAAATAATAAAACGTATTTATCCAATTGAGTATTTCAAATGTAATTTAAGAAGCATAAATTATTTCATAAAATACTTTAGATAGAATCTCATAATTTTTAATAAAAATATAGGTATATATTTGGAAATTCTTTATATCCAATGATTTATATGGAAAAATGAATACCTTATATTAAATTCAATAATTTATAAACCAATTACGGTTGTAGTTTCTTATTAATTTATGACTATTATTTTATCAGATTTTAGCATAATTAATTTTGTAACAACATTAATAATAATATAAAATTTTCTAAATTTAATTATAATTAAAGTAATATAAAATGTCAAGTTTGTTTTATTAACTTAAAACCTAGGTTCATTATAAATCTGCAACCTTTTTAAATAAAAAATAATTTAAGTTAAAAGCACTGTATTTGCAATGTAATTAGTATTTATAATTTTTATAATAATTAAATTATGGTATTAGATAATATATATAAAAATTCAGATCCAAGGGAGTTATTTATAACCACAAGGCTAGGAATTTTTATAGTGAGGAGTTTCTTTATATTTTAATGATTTCTAAAAAAGGTGGTATTCCTCTTCTGTATTTTTCTTATTAAAGTAGTCTATTTAGTTTATGTAGAGCCTTTAAGGATTCAATAGATAGGATTTCAATGGTTCGTCTATAATAAATATCCAGAATTCTATAAAGACAATTTAGTTTGGATTTACTTGTGTTCTTTTGAACATCTATCTTTACTCTATTCTACATTTGAATTGAGCTCCTTCATATGTATTTATATATTAATCAAAATATTAAACACTAGAAATAGATCCAATAGTGAGATCACACCACATCTTTAAAGAACCACCAATATCAAATATTGATGGGAGAGTTTTAGTTTCATGAAGATGATTAAACATCATATCAGGAGTCACTCCCATAAGTGTATAAAATTGATCATTAACTATTCTTTATGATAGTGAACTATTTTCCTTATTCACTTTTTAAATTATACATTAATATGGATAATCTTTAGCTATTTGTTCAACTTCTAACAATTCTTCATTTGAAATATAATAATGTTGTGTGTATTCATTTAGTATGTTAAATCTTTAATTTACAAGTTAGATTGCCAATTAAGCACATGGATCATCTTTATGAGAAAGAAGATTAATAATTTATTCGATGGAATAATTGTCTTGGTCGAGAAGTTCGAGAGTATAAAAATAAACATCATCAAGTTAATCAGTGCGAGTAACACGATGGTTGTAGGTACAAGGTGTCTCTTTTAGACTTCCTAAACAGTGGTCAGGTATAAAAGAGAGAGCTAACTTTAGTTCCACATCCGCTTTAATATAGACGTATTCTCCAACTGATTTTGGCACTGATACAATACAAATCAATTATTTTATAGGTTAGCGCTTACGATGGGCATTTTCTAAAGATTATTGATATATAATTACTCTTTTTATTTACATTTTTGGATTATAAAGAGATACTAGTTGATTCATCGTGCATGCTAACACGTTGTCTTACAATTTTACTCATTGCAAAATACCTTAATTATTAATTATTATATAAATCCCAAATCATAAGGGATATATTAGCAAATATGATATTTCGTATTATAGGATTCAAAATACACAATTGTAATTAATTATTATAATATATATAATTTTTATAAAAATTTAAATATTTTTATAAAAAACTTATAATCATTCTTTAAAATTGTGTTTATAATTAAAAAAATTAGAATTTTGATAATTTTATATAAGTAATAATAAAGCTTATTTCTAATAATATTAATCAATAGTTAATAGTTATCAAATTACAAAAATGTAAGTAAATTTTAATATAAAAGTAAATATGAATGAAACAATAAAATTGTCAAATTTAATTCTATTTTAATATTAAAAAGATAGTTATTTTAAATTAAATATTCTCTATAAATAAATAGAGAATTCTCTATTAATGAATAAAATAATATATTAATATGTTTTGATCTAAGTAATAAGAATTATATTATTTATATTCATTCCACAAATTAATTAAATTAATGACAATTTTTATATGCTTAATGTAGATGATAATATTTACTGCTTTTGCATCTAAGAAATCCAAACAGAAATAATATGAATATTTGAATGAGACAATCTTATTAATTGTACTTACAATTTTTGGTAATTATGAATATAATATTAAAAAGTTAGTTTGATTTCTATTTGCATTTTGATCTTTATTATATTGGCATGTTTACATTAATGTGGATTTAAATTTATTAGATAAGAAAACTTCAATAAAAATGAAATATAATAAGAACAATAAATGATTGTAATGATTCCATCAATTGAGAAATAGTAGTACAATTAATTTCTTTAAGATGTCAATTAAACATTAGATATTAGTAGATTATCAAATAATTAATGTTGATAATTTTGTATAAAATCATTTCAATTCAGCTGTTTTTTTAAAAAAATCTATAACTTCATTTTGAGTCCATAATATAATCAATTTGCATTTATATGGTATCAATGTCATTTGAAGATCCAAAAGATAGCCAAAATCATCTTTAATATCTAAATGAAGTAATAATAATAATTAATAAGTGAATTATTAAACTTCTTAAATTCTTGAAATGATATCATGTGGATGTCCTTGATGATGGGATAAGGTCATAAATATAATATGAAGTTTCCTCATTTCAATTGTGAAATCACTTTTGACATCTTAAATCTAGTATAATTTATCTAATTATTTGAAATACGAATATTTATTTATAAGGTTTTTGCTAATAATCATTATAATTATTAATTGTTTAAAGGATAATAATTAATGAATATATCATTGTTTTCTAGATACTTTTGCAATTTTAACAGATTTTTGAGCAGCATCATCCAAATCTGTGGCTGTTGTAATTTATACTTTAGTTTATGATTTAGCAAATTCATCCAACATTTTAGCTCCTAAAAAAAAATATATAATAATAATTACCTTATTGAGAATTTGTTCCAGTTAATCTAACAACTAATGGTGTTTTAAGATCAACCAATTAAGCTGCTTTAATGATACCTTCAGCAATTATATTGCATTTCATTATACCACCAAAGATATTAATAAGGATAGTTTCAACTTTAGGATGAGAATTTAAGATTTCAAATGCAGTTTTAACTTATTCAACATTTGCACCACCTCCAACATCTAAGAAATTTGCAGGATCTCCTCCATATAATTTAATTATATCCATTGTAGCCATAGCTAATCCTGCACCATTAACCATACAACCAATATTTCCATCTAATGCAACATAATTCAATCCAGCAGCTAATGCTAATTCTTCATGTGGATCTACTTATTCAGATGCAACAGATGTTTTTCTTAATTCAACTAATTCCTTTTATCTAAATTTAGCATTATCATCAACATTAATCTTAGCATCAATACAAAATAATTTATTCTTTGGATCTGTTGCCCATGGATTAATTTCAACTTATGTAGCATCAAGAGTAATGAACATCTTATATAAATTCTTTAATTATTCAATTGCTTATTATCTAACTGTTTATAATTATAGATTGTCAACAACTTTATTAGCAATATCATCTGTTAATCCAGTATTTACATCAATTGGTAATACAATAATACTATTTGGATCTGTCTTAGCAACTTCTTCAATTTCCATTCCACCATTGATTGAAGCAACAATAGCTGGTTTCTATGAATTTCTATCTAGAATAAAGGCTAAATATAATTGACGTACTATATCCACACCTTCATGAACAAGTACTGCATTAACTTATAAACCCTAATTAAATAAATAATTATATTTACTTCTTTAGGTGTCTAATGAGTTACTAATTTATATCCAATCATTTATTTAGTATAATTAGCTACTTCTTCTGGGGTTTTGCAAATCTTAACTCCACCTTTCAATCCACTTGATAAAGTTCCTTTAAATATATATATTGATAATACCTTTGCCTCTTCCTCCTGCATGAACTTAAGACTTAAGAATTAATCCACCACTAGGATCAAGTGTTTTAGCAACTTTAGCTGCATCTTCAGCATTCAAGGCAATTTCTCCTTTCTAAACTAGTACATTGAATCTTCTCATCAAATCTTTACTTTGATATTCATGAAGATCAAAGCATTTTACAACTTTATGTTATAATGCAGCCAATCTAGTAATTCGATTGAACATTTAATTTAAATCTTTTATTAAATCAAACCAATATAAATATTTTATATCATAATTTCCCTAAATATTTTCTCACTTCTATTCTATTCTAAATTCTATAAGTCTTATACATCTTAGAGAAATACCAATCACATAATTTACCTACAATATATAAATTTAATTAAAATACCTATGAATGTATTTTCTGTAAAATTCAAATGCATTAAATTGACAATTGAAGTTATCAATCTGATATCTCCAAAATATTCTCTACCTTCTTTTTATTCAGTCAAAACTAAATTACACATTTAAGCAAATATCATTAAACTAAATCCAAATAAATGATTTTTCATTCCCACATCTACTTATCCAAATAAACCATGATCAAAGTTTTTCACTATTTCATCAATTATTTTTGGGGATCTTTAAAAAAAAGACTTCACCATAAAAAATGTAAATGATTATGTACATTTTCCTAATCTAATTTTATCATTCAAATCATAAAAGTAAGAGATAGGTATCCACTTACAATCTTATAATTCTTATTAATTTAATGTAATTTAGGGTTACTCACCTGAAACAATAAATACATGAGTACAAACTTTTAAACCTTTTGGAGCATCTTTAATCTCAATATTATTTGGAAGACGACCTAAATAAAATGTTTAGTGTTTTCTTAAATCTACATCTACTTCTTCCATAACTTCTCTTATAACAGCCTCAAAATCACTTTCTTCATTATCCAATTTTCCTCCAGGAAAACATATCTCATTTGAATGAATATCTCTTAAATTGAATTATCGTTAACAAACCATTAATTTACATTCAAAACTTTCCTATTATAATAATTCCAATAAATGATTTTAACTACATATACTCTTCATATGAGCTTATCCTAAAGTTGGCAATTTTGAACTTATTGTATTTGGTGTCCAAAATATTAATGCCACTGCAGCTTATTTTAAATTTGATTATTCTTTAAAGAAAACTTAGTGTTTATTTTTAGCTCTTTGATTTCCATTATATATATACCATATAAATTTAGCATTCTTATTCATAATTTAATTTAATTGAGAAATTCTCAAATCAATTAAAATTCATATATACAATTATTTATATTATTTAATCCTTTATAGATTTTTATAAAGAATAGATTCAAATTTTGAATAATCATTTTCAATATTCCTTTATATGTATATTCACAATATTGTTTTACATAACACTAATACCTAATTTTTTAAAATGATATGTTGTTAATAAAACATAAAGACTGATGTAATCAATAGATTTTTCAATTACGACTTCTACAAGACAATGGAGATTTTGAATTAGTTGTGACTTTTAATGATAATTTGCTTTGTTGATGTCTTCTTGCTAGGATAGAGTTATTTTTCATTTCTAACCAATTATCTTGAATTCTTTCAATATTTTATGATTTTTGATTATTTAACATTATAGGAACATTATTTATATCTAAATCTTTCTTCCTTTTTTAATGAGAACTGCTATTAATACATCCCATATCTATATTTTATTATTAATTAATAAATAACTATTCAGTGAAAATAATATTTATTACATGAAAAATTTGTCTAGAATATTTAATAAAACAAAAGGAAAATACAAAAGGTATAACTCAATTAATAGATTTGATCACATTAACTTAATAATTTTATTTTATGGTATGTTGTTGAATAGGATTCTTAAAATTAAAATATACTGATGTAAAGTGAAGTAGATTATATTTAATTTCTAAATCTTAGTTTTCTTTTTCCATTAATTATTACTCTAAATTTTAAGGCAAGAGAGGATTAGCTTCAGCAATGCCTTCAAATGTAGAAACACGTGCCATATTATTATTTTATTAAATAGCTAAACAATCCAAATTATCAGATGTTGAAAATCCAACTTTAACACTATTTTTACTTCCTTATGTCTCCACAATACTAAATTACATTTAACTAGTTCCATTATCTGATGATATCATTTATTCATCTTAAACAGCAACAGTTTTTACATTTAAATTAGTTTAAGTTCCACCAACAAATGGTCTAACATATCATAATAATTATTTACTTTCTTATTGTCACACAACTTTAAAAATTAACATTACATGAATTCCTTTATTTTTTATGATTTTTTTTATTTTCTAATTTAATTACTTAATTAGTCCAATCCAATCCTAATTCAACTGTATTTTGTAATTTAGACAAGAATAATCCTCTCAACAATGCATATTTAGGTTTAGAATTTGGTTTAAGTTCCTTAATATATTTCATAAATCTAAATTAAATTTATGAAAGTACTTTAAAATTGAATTGGGACATCCACAACATAAATCATCCATTATAACATTTTCTTTTAACTTGCCAAT